CTTTTTTCACTAAAATAACTTGAGGGGAAAGAAAGAAAGAGTGAGACATGTTAAGATTTTATTTACATTTATTAGAAGTCAGTTTAGTGTAGATTGATCCTCCAAGAGATTAAGTCTGGGTGAATACATCTTGATATGGAATATTGTTGCATTTTTCAGGTCCAAGCTGTATATAATGCCATGAGGATGGACAACAGGGTGAAATATTTTTTATAATTTGTCACATTGTTTGGTACAGAACACTACGATTGCAAGGTTTGCCGAAACATGTCTGCTTTTCACTAGCTAACCGTTAATTAACCCATGATATTGTTGTTATCAAATTATTCACGTTACATATCGGATTTCTTCTGTAATCCCTTAAAGTGTAACATGATTTGTTAATACTAGATAACCTAATAGCCACTAATTTTTTTCTTCTATTTATTGCAAAAGGGAAACAATTTTGTACAAAATGTTGTTGAAGGGTGGTCAAGTTTTCATAAATGGTGCTTTGCTTGCGACTAATTTAGTTTTCGAAATTTTAACGAGTGGAAGAAACAATTGGAGAAGAAAATCAGAATACTTTCTAGTTTCTACGATATATAGGATGTGGATGCCTTTTGAGATAGTGAGACGAGACGGCCTGGTTATTTCCTGTTTGGAAACTGTTTAGAAGCATAAGAAATTATGGATGAGACGTGGAATTTGTAACTATGGTTTAATTACTCTTTTGGTCTTATTGTTAAAAATATTTAATTTTAATTGTTATATGTATATATTTTTTGTTTGTCTTAATTTAGTTTTTATATCTTCATAAATTTTACTTTTTAGTTTTATAGTAATAGACACCAGAGACTAAAAAAAATAAAAATTATACGTATAAATTTTTTATAATAAAACTATTTGCTAATTAGCAAAACGTTTCATTATAAGGAAACCAAAATTACTTTTGCTAGTTGACGTTGAACAATTGAAATTTCGAGGCCAATGTATATTATTCGTGGTATTTCCCATACACGAACGTAAGTAGAATAAATTGTTTGGAGGTTTCATGTAGAAATTAAAAGCAAACTTTATATTGAAATAAAAGTACAACATTTGCGTTGACATTGAAGAATTGAAATTTCAAAGCCAATATATATATTAGTCGTAGTTCCCATACATAAACGTAAATAGAATAATTAGCATCCATTATTCCTTCTCTAAAAAAAAGCATCCGTTATTCCATTATTTATAAGCCGGCATTATTAGAGTTATCTGTCATTTCTTAGTATTTTTTTTATATTTCTGTTAATTGCTCGGTCCACTATATTTTATATCCCGTATGTTATTGTTTATATGACAATTTTATGCAGCAGAGTGTTGTGAGCCTAGTATGAGATTAATACGTAAATAAATACTTTTAATTCAGATGATAATTACTAATATTTGTTTGTCTACCAAGGCCCAAAACAGAACTATAAGGAAAATAAATTAACATGGAAACCGCAAGAGCCATTGGAATTCTTTTTTATACATCGGAAGAATCCATTTTTGTTATTAATAGATCAGGAAGAAGAAGAAAAAATAATTGAAAAAAAATCAAATAGTTGGTTATCAAAATTTCATTTATTCAATGACCATAATTAAATGAGGATATATGGTTCAAAAATAAAGATTAAAAATTCGTTTATTTACATCAAGTTTTTTTAGAAGTTATTCAAGGTTTACGGAAATTCTTACTCAAATAGAAAATTAATGTTTGTATAAGATAGAATATATATAAACAAACATCAGACAAACTAATAAACTAATTATTAGTTATAATAAATGAATAGCATGATTATGATTAGCAGCAAAAGTATATCGAAAGAGATATAGATATTCTTAGCAGCACTCACTTCAGCCACTTTCATTCTCTCTGTTTCTAATTCTTCTTTCTCGTTCAATAATTTTTTATGCTTTCTTTAAATTTTTTACTTTAATAATATCTTTGTCTTTTTGTGCTAGAAAGGCTGCACACAATCTAATTTGATCTCCAAAGTGGGAAGGTCTAGTAACTCATACGACCAAGCATTTCATGGTTCCTACGGAAAGTATTATGCTATTTTTGAGTAAATTGTACTTTTTTAGTAAATTATACTTTAATTTCTTGTTATTTGTTTCAAAAATATTCTGCCTCTTTATGCTAGAAATTTGCAAGGAAGTATATCGGTGAGGCTAGATATGATAAACTCATAAACCCGATAACATGATCAATTTGGATTGAATTTTCTTTTTTCTAATTTGAATAAAACATACAAATTACTATCACTCTTGTTAATTAATATTAATACAAAGGTTACTATTGTTAATAAGTAATAACTTTTTTTTTAAGTATATGTAGAAATTTTATTGAAAACTTTAAACATTCAAAATTAGATGAAATAATACAGTATGATAAAATAATTTAATATCAAATTTTAATAATTAATGTAAAAACACATGAAAAATGATATTATATTATGAAATGCCTTTATATTGTGAATCGTATGACGTTAGTTGATACGATTACATTTTTTTGTTGTTAATTTACTTTTTTAAACATACACACGGATATTTTGTATTTGTTCAAAAAGTAATTAAATATTTTAAAAAATATATATATAAAAAAAATCGATATAGAGTAACAATTATAAAATTATATTAGTTAACCTTCATTTGAAGTAAATTTAAAATAAAATAAAAATTACATAAATGTTAAATAATTTAAAAAAAAATAAATTAAGTTTTTGAAAATTTAAAGTGGATACCGAAATAAATATATATATACTCATCCTCATCCCTCTACCTGATTCAATAAATCGAATATTACCCATATTGTATCCATACTCGATCAAATTGAATATGATCAAATTGAATATTCCGTGTTAAAATTAGAACAGATTAAATAATTACTTACAAATAGATATTTATTTATCATCTCTAGTATCCTGTACATAATGGATATATGTTTCTTTAAGGATTTTTGGACTTCAAAAACTCTCATTACAATATAATTCATATATTATTATTATTTAATAAAAAAAGGTCATAATTTCTGAGCATTTTGCAAAAAAATAAAATTATTTTTGACTTAATAAAAAAGCATATAAAATAACATTAAAGTTCGATAAAATTACGAAAAACAAATTAATTAATTCAATATATTTCTATCCATCAGGCTTAGTGCTATTTCTGAAACACTTGAATATCCTATGTCATGTTCTTATTATCCACTCATTCCTAAAGTTTCAGATAGACACCCATTTTTAATCATACAAACCTTATCTACCCAACAAGTAAAGACAGTGTATATATCCTACGTGGTGTAGAATACTGTAAGAATTTTTAAGTAAAGTATTTTATTTATTTTTTTCACCTTCAGGAGTCCCTTAAAAAAGAAAACCTCAAGAAGAGCAAAAGAAAACACTATTTTTTTTTTGACAAAAAATTTATTTATTTATCAAAAAATAATTAACAAAAAAAAAAAGACTTAACAACAGCCCTACATAAATGCGTTCACATAATACTTGCATCATATCTTATTTATTTTTATATAGTATCTTTGTATCATTTTTAGTATTAGTTTTATTTTTGCCTATAAAATATATTTAATTAAGATGCGTGAATTGATTACAAAAAACATGTATTGTAAGGATAAGTGATAAGTCAAATTTCAACTTAAATAAAATTAAAAGGATTACGTGTGTTTAAATTGCCATTTAAAACTTATTAAACAAAGATTCACTTTCCAATATAAAAATTTGGAGAAACAACTCTTTCGTCTCATTAAGATGACCAGAAATAACATAGAACATAATTTTACAAACACACCATAAGACACGAGACTATATTTATCCTTATTACCACCAAATCAACTTAGTCAACACCATAATATAAAGGGAAGAGAATGATGAAATATCTGATTAGCAACAAAACAAAGAAAAAGATAAGATCGCATCTCCTGTGGGGTAATTTACAAGTTCGGTGCAATGTGTCTTTTCACATATAAGTTTTGTCTTAAAATCAAAGATATTTTTAACCCTTTAATTCTGTTTGTTTTAGGGTTAAACAGTTTCCATTAGACTAAACTCTTTGTCTTGTCGTCTCTTATTATTGATCATTAGCTTCCTTCTTTTTCAAGAGCTGAATTGACTTCATTTCTAATTTTAATCGATTCTTTTCGTCTTTGCCTTAGATAGCATTCCCCCCAGTTTTTCGTTTGGCAAATTCTCCCTTCCCCGCCCCAAATTTAATTCATTGAAAGATGAAAATCAAAATATATTATATATAATACAACAAATCTTTATAATAATTTGAAATTTAAAACCAATTCTTTTAGTAATTTTTTACCTTTTAAAATGTAGGAAATTGAATTAATTTTCCCATACCAAATTAGCTAGACGAAACGAAAAATTATATCCAAACCTGTATTTAATTTAAAATCCATTTTAAATGATTTATTTTTATTAAATTTGGTTTGACTTAATTTTTGAATTTTCTGCCGTCAGCGTGTTTTGAAATTTCTCACTAGCCACTCACATACAAGTCATTAGCCCTATGCACAAGAAATAAGAAAACACACAATAAAAAGAAGAATAAGAAATGGATCGAAATATTTGTTTTCTAAGTATAAGAAACACACCATTTTTAGATGTCATTATATGCAATTATTAGTTAAATTCTATAATTTATATGCATTTTAAAATTAAAATTAATTACTTTAATTACCATTATTAAACCATTCAAGTAAACCTAAAGATGATAGTTAAAGTAAATAGATAAAAAGTTTAATCAGATTTTCGTTACCGTAATGTTTTCTATAAAAGAAAAAGGGTATTTTATTAATCTTAACATTGATAAATTAGTAATGGATTATCTATTATTATACGTATAATATATTGGTGAGAAAAGGCAGAAAATCGTGGTTCATTCTTCGAAGTTGCAACTTTCCATTCCATTGGGACAAGATGAAACGGACAAAATGAGATCTTTCATGGAAAGATGACAGAGAGAGGTAGAATAACAAAGAACCTGTTCCCACTTCCCATGGGTCAAATGTGTACAGAGGAAAAACAATCCATGGTTCCTCGTGCAGTGTCGGCAGAGCTCATCCATCATCACCAGTCACCACCCTCCACCTGTGACACTTTCCACCCACAATTTACAATTATAAACCACAACACCACAAATTCAAAAGCAAAACCTAACTAGAAAAATAAAATAATAATAAATTAATATGGTAATTAAAACTGTAAGTAGCGCATCATTATTATCATATGAAAATAGGTAAGTCTCATCTCACTACTACTATTCACTGCACCGTTTTTACTTAAAAAATAAATAAAAAATAAAAAAGTAAAACGCAACGTAACGCAACGCAGCGCCGCGCCCTAACAGAAAGTGGCGTCGCCGCCGCGAGTATGATTGGACATAGGCGGAATCTGGAAGTGCCACAGCCTGCCAACACCTTTGACCAAATTCTTCCGACAGAGAAACTCCTCCGCGTAAATCTTCTCCACCTTCCGATCCACATCGTGCAGGAACACGTGCGTCACACCGGATCCCTTCCTGTCCCTCGCCATGACCGCGGCGGAGAAGATCGCCGCCATCCTCCCGGGCGCCTCCGCGAAGTAGCCCTTGGGCGCGTCGATCATGACGAGGTCCCACTCCGTGGTGTAGACCTCGTCCGGGAGGTTGTGCAGCGCCAGGCGGCAGCGCTCGTTGCCGCGGAGCGTGGCGGAGGCCGGCGAGCAGGCGGCCTCGGAGCGGTAGCTGGAGAGTAGGTGGTCGGCCTCGCGGAGCTGCGTGCGGTAGCGGACGGTGTGGGCCCGGAGATCGGGGGCGTCCTTGAGCACGGTCTGGACCC